GTTTCGGCGTTATTATAATTTTGATTTTCTTTTATTAGATTTTCCACTAGTTTCATACGAAAATGTAACAGATCTTTTCTTTTTTTTTTATTTATATTACAATGGTCTGCGTCTTTTAAATATTGCAACCAACAATTTGCCACTACAAGATCGAAAGCGTGTACAATAATTCGTCGGGTTCATTTTCTTGAACGTATAAACGTTCTATAATAACTTATAAGTTGTCTTATCCAACCCCCTCCCACCATTGAAGTATTATATATCTACTGTAATTATTTCCGGCTTTTCAATATTGATTTACATTTTTTGTTTTTTATCCCAACGTTTGATAGTTTCCATTCGTCCAGACCCAATATAATTAGAAACTAAACAAATAGACCTTGTATCATACCATTTTACCATACATAAATATATTTATATATATAACATATTATTTATAACATATATAACCTTAACCAATATTATAATGACGTTAAAGCATAATATAGGGAGCGAAATGTAATCGATATCGTAACGACACCTGGAACGCTGACGAAGTGATTACGATAATAATAAAATACCCATTACTTATATAAAAAATTTTTAGTCTAAAAATTTTCGGGGAGGGGATTGCCCCCATCGTCACCCTTCAAATACGCTACTGGTTCTGCCTTAGACTTTTTCACCAGCGATTTCCTCTTTTTGGCTGCTGCAACAAGCGCATTTTGGTAGCTGGCTTCTTGGTAACGACCTTTTTTTCGGAACGGATTTTTTTATCTTCACTGCCATTTTGAAATGACCTGATGCGTCTGAACCATTGTTTTGCATAAAGAGTCCCTTTGCGGCAGTGGCTTTCAAAAATTTGCGAATAAACGGAGCGACTTTGGTCGAATCTACCTTGTAGTTAGCGGCCATGAACTTCTTGATGCCTTGTAGTGACGAACCTTTCTTGTCTTTGAGTTCTTTTATGGTCGTGGTAACCATAAGAGCAGTGGTCGGTTGAGAAGTGGCAGGTTTGGCTACTTTCTTCTTTGGTGGAGCCTTGGCAGCGACTTGAGTGGGTGATTAAGTTGCAGAAACTGCGGTGTCCGTCATGATTCGAAAACGATTGATAAATTTTGGAAATAGAGTAACTTGAAAACTTGGTGTCAATATTTGTGGGAAGCAGATTTTTATAAATGAAATAACGTAAAAAAAAAAAAATGAATTACATTCTTATGGCCCTGAAAAGGGTGTTTTTTTTGAGGGAAGGAAAAATATTCTTAATTTAGGAAGATAAAATAAATACAGATAAGTCAATGAATTTCAAGAAAACGGAAAACTAGTGATGGGCGTTATTGAATAATAACTATTGAATTATTTGATAGTCTTGTCAAGTTATTTATTTGAATAATCGATAACGATTATTCGAATAATTATTTATTATTGGATTGAATAATTATTTATTATTCGATTGAATAATTGAGGCACATAGAACCAGAACGGCCACGAAAAATCAAATTTTGTTTTATATGATAAAACATTTCACATTTATATGATATTTGAAATCTACAATGACATATCCCACAAAAAAATTTATTTACTAAATGCAGCACATAATTGTACTTGGCTTTGTGATTATGATACACAATTTTAGAACCAAAGTGGCTCAACCCTATGCCTATGCCTAAAAAAAAAGTCAAAAATTGAAATGTCCGTCCTGCATAATTACACTTTTGTGGGTTAGGCTGTTCTGGTTCTATGCGCCTCAATTATTTATTATTCGATCGAATAATTATTTAATTATTAATTGAATATAATTTTATTATTTATTATTATTATTAAATGTTTAGAAATGTACATTAATTTGATCAGTATTATTGTTAAGAGGTCATTGGGTTAAATTGGGTTTTTAAATAGTAATTAAAAATTACTATTTAAAAAAATTAGGATTACTGTATTTTTCACTATTACCCTACCGAGTCTTGATATCAATATTTTCTACATCGTTTAATCTTCAATATATTAATATTGTAATTTATTAATGGCAGGGCTTTGCACCCGAATGAATCTGAACCCGTAACACCCATAAAAACCCTTAAAAAATCAAACACCTAAAACCCATATAATCGAATGATTTTTTTTTAAAACACCCGAATTCACCAAAACCCGAATAAAAAATTGGTTTTAACCCGAAACCCAATGATTTTTTATTTTACAATCTTTATGTGACATATAATTTTGTAAGTATTTTTTGTGGTTATTTTAATTTTGTCATTAGTTGTGTAATAGTAGAATTATTATTCACAGGAATAATTTCACAAATAATATACAAAATTGTTAATTAATCTAAATTTATCTAAATAAAGAAAATAATATATCATATTGATAGTTGTGCATGAATGGTATGGTATGTTGAATGTTCAAGTGTAAACAACCGTGATACTATTTTGAAAATTATCCCAAGCGGATACGTCGTATTATTATAAATTAATAGGTAATAGGTCTTCTACGAATCACCGAGTCGTTATTTATTGCAATATTTAAGTCTGAAATAGAATTGATATCTTGCGTATGATTACCTAAATTGTTCGCGTTATTCTTATTTGTTCAGTGTATGCCGTGTAGTACACATGTCTACGGTGTGAATTGTCAATTTTAGTTAGTGTAATGTCATCGTAACATTCATAAGTACAAATAATTATTTTTGTATTACACTATGTCCTAGCAAGTGCGTTTTTAGTGTGCATGCACCACAAACTATAAGCGGAAATTTGTAGGAGGGGCTGAGCATTATTTGCATATTACACCTATAGATACCACTGCGCAATTATTTATTTATTTTAACAAAGAAATTTACGAAATTTGACGATTTGACATTTTTAATCAACAATTTAAACAAAAAAACAATTAGGTGCCTTATCTTGACTTTTTTGGAGTAGGTATTCTAAACAGAAATTATTAATTAATTAAATTAAACAACCTATACAGGTATTATTATTATTTCATATTAATATCACATTGAGATCGAGTCATGACAAGTTAGTAAAATCTTACGAATTTGATTTCATTTTTATCACAGAATATTTTTTTTAATTCAGTTATTAAAAATGCATTTTACAACTATAATAATTTTTGTATTTTTAGTCACTTAAACATTTTTAGGGCCAGGAGGACTAAGACCTATTCTTTATATTCCTGGGGGGCTTAGTCCCCTCAAGCCCCCCTCTCGTTTTCCGTCTATGCCACTAACACAAGCGCAGAATACAAAATAGTTTGTTTTTTGTCACATGCGATATTCCTTCACTGACTAGGAGTAGGACATAATGTTAGTGTTTTTAATTTTAATAGATATTATAAATTATAAGATTCATACACATATAAAATAACCCTCTCTTCCCCGACAATAAATGGTAATTACACTATTTCTTGAAATTAACATAATGATAGTTGGGTCTAAAAAACTGTTGTACAGTTGTATGAGAAATTGATATTTTATTACATGGGCAGGTAACAAAAAATATAAATATGTCATTAGTGGAAAGGGACTCAGCTGCCCCACCACCCTCAACCAATGAAACATAATATTTTTCCTTGACTACTTAACACCCGTATTAATCAATAATAATAACACCCGAATAATAACGGTTATTAACACCTAAACGTTTGTATAAATGTTGTATTGTGGTGTTGGAACACCCGAAATCCGAAAAAATTATTCTGGTGCAAAGCCTGAATTTATGGTACTTATTCCTTTCAGTATCGACTATTTGTTTTGAAAAAAAAAATATTTTTTGATTGTTTTTTTTTTTTTTTTTGTTTACGGATGTAATAAGTGATCCTGAAAATTTCAAAGTTTTGGCACGCTTATTTCCGGATAATTCGATATGTACATTGGGATTCAACGACATAAAAATAACACATTTGAAACGAACGCTACACTTTTATATTTTTATTACGTATAGATTTAATGATTCATTTTCTTTCGAAATAGTTGTGATATAATGTAAATCATCTAATTTAATTTATTTTAGAGTTTGTTAAATTCCATAGTGTAAAATCAATTAAAATTTATCTGCAGTATTTTTCTGTTACTTACTTCATAAATTCTTGGTACAATGTTAAATTATAAACAATGCCGCTTTGACCACATAACAAAAAGGTAGATGAAATATATATTTATTTAAAATAAACATTTAGGCGGGAAAAAAACATATGGAAAAAAATTGCGATTTGATTATCAAATTTTTTCTCCTTTCTGGTAATTTTTTTTTTATATATTGGTAACACTTATCCGAAATATATTTTATCCTGATCCCAAACATGATTACCAGTTTATAAACATTTCAAACAAGTGTGTAGCTTTTATCATTAATCTACTATCAAATATAAAAATGTGAGTACGTTACACAGACTTCTATAGAAGTCTGTGGTACATTATAATGTACTTGGATACTAAGAGGGTTAACACTTTAGTTAAATAAATTATGTTTCGTTAAAAAATCAACTTAAATATTGTATATATGTAAGAACACACAACATTATTTATTCGATAATATAATACAATAAAACATAATGGAATTACCGATATCCTATATTTTTTCGCGCTTTTGTTGGGTTCTAACCACTTAAAATCAAATTAATATTGCCATTCGACAATGAAAAACCCAAAAACCCTCACTGGAATTCAAAACGATTAGGTATTATCGTTTAAATTTTGTTAGCCCGTTTTCACCATAGTCATAAATATATTATATTTTTATGCCTATGGTTTTCATGTTTACGTTATCTATGGATAATCTGGGTTTTTAATATTTTATCATATATATAAATATACTCTAAGCATGTGATATATATTTTCTGTAACAAGATTTAACTGTCATCTTGATTATAGATCTTGCACAATCGTTAACCGCATTGATGTATGTTGTTTAGCCGACTTTTGCTATTTTTTCACTCTTGTTGGTCGTACGAGGAATATAATATATTATTATGTTCGATCAAATGAACTTGCATAAATATTCCGAGTAAGTTGCCCGTTTTCTTTTATTTTTATTCTTTCGTTGAAATTGTTTTTGACAACTGTCTTCTTATTTGCGCTTGGTTACTAAAATGTTACTTTCGCGTTATATTATTTTATGTATTGAACCGTAATTTTTTCATTGTAGTCTTCAGTATGATGCATCGAAAAATAATAGAAACGCAACACCGGTATATGGACCATTTGAAAAACTATTTGTCAGCGATTGGGGACAGTCCAAAATACATCACAATGTTATTCAAGTATAAAATTATTTCTAATTTCAATTAAAATTGTTGATACCTATTTAAATTTTTAACTATTTTAACTATATCTTAACATAGTAAGATATATAGTAGCTTTAAATATAGAATTGTGATCAAAATTCATCAATCATTTTTTATGTAATAATGTAGCTTATTTTTTTCTATATAGCTATAAATTTTATCTTTTTCAGGCTTTTGATAAAATGAATATTAGAACAATGTCACCTTTACAACAAAATTCATTTTTATATTTATCAAATAACTATAATACAGCAATGGTAGGATATTCAAGAGGAAAATCATTTTCTTACCTAGTTTCTATATTTTCTTCAATTTTGAATAATAGAGTTAATGATGAGGTAAATTATGAATAAATAATGTACAACACGTTAATGTATTAAATGTACCTTTATAATTTTACTTCCATTTGTAATTTTTAGACTGATTTAGAAATTGGACCTAAAGCAATTGTTCTTAGTAGTTCATTAGGATCATGTTCAGAATTAGAAGATTTATCAAAAAAACTGACTTCTCCAAGGGAAAATTCAGTGAAAGTTGTTGTTGCTTATGCATCTATGCCAGTACAACATACAATAGTAAGATATATTGAGTTTAAAAACTATTTGCAACATTAATTGAGTGAGTAAAGCGGGTTGTATTTTTTGTACAGGCCCATATTTGTAATGGATGTGATGTTTTAATCACTACTCCAGCTAGTCTCCATAATCTCTTAAATAAAACAAAAATATTTAGTTGGATGAACCTTAGACATGTTGTTTTTGACAATATAGATGTACTTCTAGTAAACTACAAAGATGAAGTAAATAAATGTTGTGTAATGTATCGTAGTGACATAAAATTAATTCAAAACTTTCTAGATGGTATATTTTTATAAAATCTTTATTCAACTTAAAGAAAGCATTAGCAACTTACAAATGATATCTGCATCAGTTAAATGGACAAAAGAAGTTGATGATTTTTTAAATCGGTTGTTTGTCAAATGGCAATATATTTTTGGATCTCATTTAGAAGCTGCTCGTTACATGAAAATAGGATTTCATTTTGTACATTTTAGTGATAATAAATTAGATAAATTATTAGGTAAAACAATTTATTTTAAATGTTCATATATTATAATTCTTTATCATAGAAACCTTATACCACGATTACAGATTATTTAAATAATAATATTAAGTGTCGTCGAAGTGTTTTGTTTACATCAAATACAGATGAACTTACTATAATTTCTAATTATATTCAGCAAAATGAATCTGATATTGAGGTATTATTACCAAGTCAAATGAAAAGTGCCAAGGGTAAATTTTTAAATAACTATTTTTTATTTTATAAAAATTTGCTTGGATTAATAGTTAATATGAATTTTTTTATAGTTTATACTTTACAAAAATGGGATATGCCATTAGCTAAAAATAAACTTATATTAATTTGTAGTGATGATATGATGTTTGATTTTTATATTGACAATGCAGATTGTGTTATACATTATGACATTCCTATTGACAAACAAAAATTTTCAACGAGATTTAGTGTTCTACAAAATTCAAACAATATACTTACTGTAAGATTTCTAAATTGAAATGTTTTATTTTTTGTATTATTTTAAATTATCATATTATTTATATAATTTCATATGATGTATTTAATTGATTTTAAATTTTAAAATTTTTAAATAGATTAAAGAGCGCAGTACTTATATATTTTTAAGTAATAATACTAATGATATGCTGCAGCTTCCAAAAGTTGTTGAAATAATGAAAGAATTTGGAAATGGTAAAGTGGAACCAATTTTACAAAAACATGCAATGGTTAGAAAGATTTAAATACTGAAAAATAAATAAATTAAATAAAAATATTGCATTTGCGTAAATATAAGTTTAATATCAATTTATATGTAATTACTAGGGAATGGATTTAAATTTAGTAAAAAATTAAAAATATTTAAATATATATTTATTTATTAATTCATAAAAATTTATTTATAATATTGAAATAATGAAATTGAAAATTAGATATAATTTAATATAATTTATAAATAATACATAATAGAAAAATAAAAATTCTAATTTTGAAATAGTATCAATTAAAAATCCAAAATTAGCGGAAATAATTGCTAAATTGATTGCAAGTTTTTTGAAATTTGTACCTACTTCCTAGATAAGATATTGTACAGACCTAATCAAATATTTTTGTCCATCATAAATTACTAAAATAAATAAGGAAATTCTATAATAATACAGATTACGTATATTTATTAGTAAAATATTTCATTATTATTTATTGGTAAAATTGGTAAAATATTTAAAAATATTTAAAATGAAATTAGCATCAGTTCATTCAAAATAAAAGGAAACTTTCCAATATTAAAACTACATAAAAATATTTATTTACATTAAAATCCGTTCCCTAGTAATTACTTACTATAATATACAATTTTATTACTTATCGTAATTTTTTTTTAGAAACTGTAAATTTGTTCTTTCAGTAAAAAAAAAAAAAAAAAACTAAAGAAATTGCTTTTCAACTTTTGTATAAATAATATATTACATTAATTTTAATACATTTATATTTATAAGCTTATGTTTTCCAAATAGAATATATCTAAAACTTTAGAAAAGCAAAAAGTAAACAGGCTTTTGTGTATTAATGTAAAACAGTTTGGTAATTGTCTAAAACCATCAGTATGCCCTGACCGTCATATTTTATTCAAAGAAGTAGACGAACCTGCTGTTAACATTCCTAAGTATGTTAATTTTATTTTGAATATTTCTGTTCTAATTTATTTATATTCAATTTTTAAAAATTAGAATATCTGATATTTATTATTTATTTTTTGTAACTATAATTTTTTTTATTTTTTTGTAGGTCTGGACTAGCTATTATAAAAGTTTTAACAGTTTATGATGCATCTCACTTGTCTGCTAAGCTTTTGAAATTGAACTGTACTAATAGTCTAAACAATAATACAAATTGGTCTAATGTAAAAGACCATACTACCGCCATTAATCATGAGCTAAATATGTTTTATTCTAATGAGGATTCTCGGTAAATAAACTTGAAATACTTTAATTAAATTATGATTTACAAGTTCATCTTTTAGAATTCTTCATGAAAACCCCAAATATGGCGATATTGTAGCAGTACAGTTATATACTAAAAAAAGAGAAGAAGAGAATACAGAATATTTTAGAGCAATTATTATTGGTTTCTTAGATACAAATACTATTAATTCAAAAGTGGAAGTTAAGCTAATCGATGAAGGATTTGTTGACACAATATCGGTAATTAATTTTTTAATATTGTTGAATCATTTGATGTTCAATTTTTTTAATTATATATTTAGATATGGAAAATTTTTGTGTTACCTGATTCCTTAAAGAGTTTAGAAACAAACACTGTTGATATATTTTTAGCATCTGTGAAACCAATTGACTTTGATCAAAAATGGTGTAAACCAGCTACTACTAGAGTTAGAAATGATTTGAATTATGCTAAAGATTGTAATGATACAATTATTGTTAAGGTGAAATTTTTTTTTTTTTTTTTAGTTTTTTATATGCTGAATTTATAAGTTATTTTTAGGTTGAAATGGCTTTAGGAACAACTCTGTGGATAAAAAAGTTATACAAAAAAAATTGGAATTCAAATTTAAAACAATATGACTTTATAGACATTTTACCTGGCTCATTGTTAAACTTTGGTTATGCTGATAAAAATTTTGATCATATTACAAAATTAACTGACCTCTGTACTGCAGCTGGTATTAATTTGCCATCAACATTAAAACAAAATGTTGAAAATCGTAAGTTGGATATAAAACGTTTATTAAGTATTTTATTTAATCTTATTATGGTGTATGCAATTGTATTAGATGAACTTACAATAGAAGAATTTATGTCATTTTATAAATTACCTCAACCCCAATGGGCACACTTGGATAAGACTAGTGAAACTTTGGTCACCCTAAATTATATTATAAGTCCTAAACTTTTTTTTGTGCTGAATACTAAATATTATGATATGTAAGTATTAATTTGTTATATAAGTTAAATTTCTTAAGTTTTTTTCTAAATAAAAAAATGATTGGTTATAATCAGGGCTCGGGAGTTAAAGCATTTGCTTATTTTTATGGATTGACTTAAAATGTAGCAGAGTGCTATAGAAGTGTATGTCAAATTATAACACGTAAAATTATAAAATTTAAAGTGCCTTTTTTTGCTTTTTCAGCAATTTTTCAAAAAATGCTATTTCCAGTTTTTCTAAATATTTTTACTTATTTGACCAGTTTTTTTTACATTTTTATAGTTTTCTTTTGCAAAGTCGTTTTTGATAGAATTAAAAATGAAAATAATTCTTATCTTATCTACGTTATTACGTAGTTCGTCGCTGTCCGAGGCATCGTTTAGGGTTAACAAAGATATTCCAATGCTGAAAATAGAACTGAGTATCAAACGTCAGAAAGATCAAATTAAAAAAAGAATGGATTACATTTTATTTTCAGAAAAATCTCTTAGACAATCTTTAAAATCTTGAATTTTTTAAAAAATTGAAAATTTGAAAATTTGAAAAATTTAATTTTATTTTGTTTGATTTTTTAATTAGTATTTTTATAGTTTTTTTTTTTTTTTTAATAAATATTTTTGCTTAATTTTAAATTTTTTAAATGCTTATTTTAGGGTTTATAATGATGTTTTTAAGAGCTTATAACAAACTAATCGCAAAAATATATTGACCAACGATCCAAAAGAATATTTTCGTTTGACTTTATACTTACCATTTTTTAATTATTTAATATCGGAAATTAAAAATAGATTTGTAGGGTACTGTCATGAAACAATTATGCATTTACATTATTCAATACCATTTTTTTTTACACGAAAATGCAGACATCAAAAAAATTATTGAATTGGCCAAATTTTATGTTGATGATCTAATTGAATTAATTGAAGTAGTTAGAGGTGAGGTTATTTTGTGAAAACAATTTTGGAAATCCCAATCAGATAAACCAAAAACTGCTATAGAATCATTTAACCATGCCTCTGCATTTTATCCGAATATAAAGGAATTGCTGAAAATTGTTTGCGTTATACCAGTTACCACTTGCACAGCAGAAAGAACATTTTTCTCAGTTAGAGGAACAAAAACTTATCTAAGATAACAGTAGGAAAAGATAGATTAAATGGACTTTTGCTCCTTAATATTCTCAGGCATATTAAAATTAATCTAGAGGAAGGTATTGAAGAATTCAGTAAAAAACACGTGAAAATTACACTTACAATTTATGTAAAAAAAAAAGAAATTTATGTTATTTTTAAGTTTATATTTAATAAATATCTAATACTGATGTTTGAAAAAAAATATATAGCATTTATATAATATAAAATAGAAGAATAAAAGGTATAATTTTTTTTTTTTGAGTACCCCCTGTTAAAATTTCCTGGATCCGCGCCTGTCCCGAACCCTGATTATAATATAACCATTATGCCATAGGTATCTATAAGCTATGTTTTTATAGATTAGAATTATCAATAATTATTCGTTAATTATAGTTATATTTATCTTTCTTATAAATTTAAAATTATATTCTTTTTTTTTTTTTGATAACTTATGGATAACTTTATTGGAAACTGGAGAAGTAAGCATCGATTTTATTACTATTTATAATACATTAAATATTTTAGGTATAATAATCTTCAAGAAAAAATTTGTAATTATGTTGAACAGAAACAAGGAAACAAATTAAAACATATTATTAAAGGAGCTATTTGCTTAGCTCAACATCCAGTTACAATTCAGTGAGATACTTAGGTATATTATGTGCTATATAATTATTAATTTAATTGTGTATGGTTTAGATATGGCCGTGTTCAAATTATTGAAGTACTTAATAGTAGAACTGTTGAAGTGTTATTTGTTGACTTAGGTTATATTTATGAAATTAAAACCAACTCATTACTTACAATTCAATCAAATTTGATTACTCAGTTACCATTCCAAGTAAATATAATTACCTAAAGTTTATAAAATTAAAATTTATTATTATCCCTAAATATTTAATTAATTTTTTAGGCAATTGAATGCAGTTTAAGTGGTGTTAAGGATACATTGCCTACAGGAGATAAACTTGAAGAACTAACGCAATATGTACTTGATTTGACTGAGCACATATATTTAAAAGTCGGTAATCAATAAAATAAAATGTAATAAATGTATTTTAATTATTTTAATTTATAGGTTCATGATACTATTTCATCAGCAAAAATATCTGGTGGTAATCATTATGAAGTAATTTTATATGATGAAAATAATACTGTTAATTTTGAATTTAAAACCAATTTTCCTGAATATTGTGACTCATTAAAGATGTCCGAATTAATAGATCTATATTGTAATAAAGATATTGTAGAAGAAAATGATTTTATACCACAGAATTTATTTGAAGATAGAATTTCTGAAATTGAAAATAATGTAGAAGTTGAAGATTTAGATTCAACACAATTATTTTTTCAAGAATTTGGACATGCTCTTTTGGGATCGGTAATTACTTAGTTCATATAAATGAAAATCATATTTTTATATATTAATGTTGAATTATATGATTTGGATGTATGGCTATATACTATATTTAAATTATTTCTTGTGTTTGATCAACTCTGGTTGTTTTATTTATTTTCATTAAAACTAACCAAAATAATAATAAACTTACTATAAATATACTGTAAATTACTTTATAGTTTGTCCTCAAACTCAATTTTTAATATTATACATATAATAATATAATATAATATGAATAAATATAATAGTATGATATATGTAGTTTAAAGTATTCAGTAGTTATTGGCACTTCAAGAAAACAAACTAATTTGTTTAAATCAGTATATATTTAAACTGTTACCATGTTTGAAAATGTCTCACCAGCTCATATTAATCAAATATAAATTATCTTTTAAATTGTGTTATCAGAAATGTTATAGGTTTAATACTACTTTTTAAATTACTGGATTTTAACAATAATACAAAAAATTATAGTTATTGGCACACATTTTTGTTTATAAAATTTGAGTTTCTGCAATTATCATAAAAAGATTTATATAAGCTAAGTACAAAAATCATTTTTGAATATATTAAATTATTTACTGTCTATATACTTGTGAATGAAAAATACATTTATTTATAGAATTACCTAGGTAAATTTTTAAAGATAGTCAAACATTTTATGTTCCTAACTTAAAAAATAGAATATATTGGTCTTTGATATTTTGAAATGAATTTGAATAATTGAGTATAGGTCAAAACAAAATTTTTATTTTTCATATCATAGGTACCTATAATTAATATTAAAATAATATAGGTTGGTGTATTAAAGTATCAAAGTATAATTTTTCAAAGAAAATTAATTGAAAATATTTCTAAATATTTACAACTAATTATATTGCTCACTCAAATCAAATAATGCTCCAATACTTATTTTATTAATTTTAAAATAAAATAAAAATTCTTCAATATTTTGATTTTTATCAGATAGGTAATAATTAAGTTTTTAGTGCTAAAATAACTTTTCTCTCTATTAATATTAATATAAAAAACTATTAAAAAATATTAAATAAGTATGTATAAAGTTAAAATACTACCCTCAGCCTTTAATAATTAAAATAAATAACTTTACAATTATCAAGTATAAAAACTAGTAAGTATATTAAATATATAAAAAGTTTAAATATAAGTTTTAAATATAATCCTCAGTGTTTAATACTATTTTTATTCTTATTTCTTTATTAATATTTTCATTAAATAATTTAAAACAGCAGATACAGCATTTTCTAAATTACTTTCAGAAAAGCTTTCCTTTTTTTTTCGACATTTCTATAATCTAGGTAACATATTAATTTACCATTACTTTTATAAGAAAGATATTTTCATTTTGGTGAGTACAAATAAATTATACAATAGAGAGCCAACAATAAAAATAATAGTAATTAATCATCACTTAATTATCGGCATCCAATACCAATAACTGAAAAATTAGAAATATTTATGACAGTTATTGGCATACCTAATAAATTTAATTAATAAAAACTAAATGTGGTATTTAGAAAGTAAATCCATTTGAAGTATTTAAATATTTTAAGGAATCAGAATGTCTTAAGTTCAAACTATTTAAATCAATATAATTACCTATAGAATATTAAATATCTTACCTGAATTTTACGTTTACAAAAAATAGATTTGTGTGTTGAAATATTTATATCATTGAATAACATAAATACTATATCAATCATTGACAATTAAACTACACAAATTTTGCTAAATATAATAAAAAGAACTCCTCAAAATAACAATGATTTAATTATTTATAAAGATTTACAATTTGTGGTGCCAATAACTATATAAGTGCAAATAACTGTACACTTTTTACCCTATGTATATAGTATTTGATGAGTAAAATAGACATTTAAATTAATTAACAAATCAAAAAATAATTATTAACTTAGAATTTCAACAGAAAAAAAATTCTCATTTATAACATCCATTAGTATTATTATTATTATTATTATTTGGAATATTAATTATCTAAAAACTACATTAAGTATTACAATATATTTCTCATATCACATGCCTATGTTAGATTTTGAGAGAATAAGCTCTCAAAGCTCTTTTCTAACTGCCTATATAGCTCAGATTAATATGGATTATAAAAAACAAATTAAAATTGTAACTATCTATTCTCTTTATTTAGGCCTATAAAGATATAATTGAGTCTATAAAATTAAACGTTGATGATTCTAAAAATGAAAATTCTATAAAAATTGAAACAATTGATGAAAGTTCTTCTGTTATACAAGTTACTGAAAATAAATGTATTAAAAATCTTACATCTGTTAAATCGATTGAAGAAGTTTTACCTGTTAATGAAACCGAAGAAGTTAATACCAAGCTTAAAAATACATCTTTTGTTACAAAAAATCAGAAGTTAAAGTCGAATAAAAAATGCTTAATTGATTGTTTAACATGCAACACCAATGTTGACTCAATTGTTCCTATTTGTTATTGGTATCAAAACAAAAATTATATTTATTTAAAATTCAATATTCTTGAAGTAGATGATTTTAATATTGAGTCTACCATGTATAGTATAACATTGAAGTAAGATTCTATTTTTCTTTAATTGTATCCTATTAAATGTAATGATTAGGGCCTGGATTAATATGCTAACAAAATTGTAAAATGTGCAACAGTAAAAAGTAAAATTTTAATAATTATTAACTATTGTATAAAATGTATTATTATTTTCACATGTATATCATAGTGTATATATTTAAAAACATATTATTTGAATATACATGGAAACTATTCAATAATATGCACTAATTGTGAGTTTCCCTTAATATGTAAATAAAAAAAATAAAAAAATATACGTTGATTTATGATAGGTCGACAATTTTAATCAGAAATACTTAAAGTAGTACACATAGAAATATGCAGTTGTATATAAATCCAGGCCTTAGTAATAGCTGTAAAACATACCATAATATACATATATAACACTTGATTTTGAATGTTTTTATTTTCAGTGCTCAATTCAAAGATAAAATTTATTACTTTTGTGTTAATCTTTACGGTCTAATAAAGGATGACAACGTAACAAATCAAATGAGTTTTGAAGGTTTGCATATAAAAGCGGAAAAATTGTTTAAAACTGGTAAATTTATTATTGATAAATAATTTATTAAACAAACTTAATACTTGAGTATTGTGTTTCTAATTTTAGTATTGAATCATACAAAACTATTTAATTTAGAATTGAACTAAACTATTTGGCTTAATTTTTAACTATATCTGTACTGGTTACACCTAATGATTTATGTTGTGTATCTATATCATAATTTATTCATGCTGATATACCAACTTAGTGACTCACCACTTTGAAAGTTTCTTTTATTTTTATAGATTACAAATGGTTAAGATTGTTTAAATGTGAAAAGCAGCACATATATGTGAAGTATGATCCAGAGCATATAGAAGAATCTAAAAGCAAAAATTTGGTAGTAAGAAGTAGGTTTATTATACTAGTTTAATATCAAGTAATAATGAATTATAATTACCAGTTATAATGTTAATCTCTTTTTTTTTCTTTTTTTTGTAGCTTTGAACCAATTTAAAAGTTTAGCTTTGGGAACTCCTTCAAATGATTTGAATGATGAAGCATTTGATTCTGATACTAGCAATAGTGATTTAGATTTAAATTTTGATGACATTTATGATGATTGAGCAATTTTTGTATTGATATTGGTACTAATATTGGAATTTTTGTTTTGCTGTGAACCATTTCATTTTTTTTTTTTTTTTTTTTTTTGAAACATAACTTTTGATTTAATTTTTAAATGTTATTGTAAACCAGAATTAATTTTGTTAAAAAATTTACCATTTGATTAATAAGAATTTATCAAGTAGTATTTACTTTGTTTTAAAAAATATGAAGTAAAAATATTTGAATTTCTTACATTTGATTTTTTTAAATTATTATTGTTATTATTCTCACTCGCCTTTCTCCTAACTATTAGGGGTCGTCTACCATTATCCTAAATTTCCACTCGTCTTGATTTTCTACATCCCTATGATACATACACTTCTGTTCATTTCATCCAACAGCACTTAATTCTATGTTTTACATACATATCAAAGCCCTGTCCTTTTATACAAATAATCCTAAATATTTAGTTTTCAACATCACCATTTATTGTCATTATTATCCTCATCAACTATTTTTTTTTTTTGTGCTATAAATTAACTAATTAATTGGTATGCAAAATTTACAGATTGTATTCAAAATGTCAAATTGACATATATTTGTATTGACTTAATGTACTTACATAACTTATAGGATACAAAATACATTTTTAATGAAATAGCTGTGGTAAATTTTTATCTTTTATCTCAATTGGCTAATAAATTATCTAATTTCCTATTTATAACATAAATAGTTTTAAAGGATTACAAGAATAAATCACATTCTTAGTAAATTTGAAAGCTAATAAATAATGACTATAAAAATCAAAGATTTCTATTGTGTAGTCTTTAGTGATCGTTCAATTGCACCGTTTGAAAAAACTCTAAGTACTTATTAAGATACAAATAATTTGAAAATTAATTATTTAACTTTTCCTTCTAGTAAATACCAAATAATTTGGAATTGACAAAATATTTTTACCAGTATTCTTAATATTAAAACTTATAAGTTTAAGGTACATAATTCTTGTGAGGATTAAAGAGAATGTGTATTTGATTATAGAACAATGTTTTATTTTCATTATTTTTTTTTTTAAACATGATTTAACACAAATAATATTAATAGAGGTAACTATATTCTAACATTGAACAATATGAATAATATAATATATAATATCATACATAAATACTTACACAACAATAAGTAAAATAAGTTCAAAACACATATTGTTTCAAAATTCAACTTATATTTTACATAAATTAAGTACTTATATTAACTACTAACAAAAATATACAATGATAATAAAAATGGTAAATACATTCCAAACTTTTAAAAATTAGGCAAAATTTGTATTATATGTGATGTGTCTCTTATTTATTTTAAGTAAAAACATGGTCCCATTTTACACAATTTTTACAGTTTGGCCGTGAATGTGCTTTTGGGTTAGTCAAAATGTATTGTACTGAACAATTTAAATATTAATCGCTGTTAATTATATAAATAAATCATATAGGAACTTTTATTGGTACATGCATAATATAAATTCAGTTTTAAAATTCAAACGAAAACTACCCTGTTGTTATTATTGTTACAGGTAGTACCATTACGAATGATAACCTTAGTAACGATCATCAACGTTATAATTGGCATCCCTATTTTGTCATAGAACAAATTGTACAAACGTATTTAAGTTTTTTTTTTTTTGTTTTATTGAGTAATAAGCATCATCTACTCCAATCAGTCTACAGTGTCTTATGTAACAACGTGGTTTGATTTGTATATGTTAAGAAAAATAAAAAGTTAAAAATATAATAATACATGTGTACACTTTTATCCATATAATATACACACAACACATACAAATGACATCATCAACACTAGTGATCGATGTCATGTATGTTTATTCGATTTGATCATGTCGCACAAAGTATTAATGTGATACAACGATTTGTTTACAGCAACTAGAAGTATCTAATAAAATAAAATAATATACAAAAAAAAAAAAAAATTCTTTACAATATCGAAACGGTGCCACGTGAGGCAATCTGTACTACACTGCTCATACTTTGCTCTCGGGACCTTCGGCGGAATGTTCAAATGATTTTCGAATCCTGGACAAGTACTTGGAAGTGATGTGACCGAATATCTTGTTGTACCACTCGCACGTCCTTCCCCTGGAAACGAAGATAATACATAGACGTGTGAGTACATTGTAATTATTACTGTTGTTTATGTGTGTCGGTCGAACGAGAGAGTAACATCGAATAATATGAAAGAGACAATGCGGGATTGTAGGGCACTTACTTCGTGTCGACCCTAGACAAATGCAGCACCCTGGACTTGCCCGAGCCGCAAGGTTCGATCAGGTACCTGGAAGCCAGCACGATGCCGCGGACCGCGCCCTTCGGCAGCTTTGCGTCCGGGTGTTCCACGGACGTTTCAACGATCGCGCAACCACCCTTGGCGAGGTCCGTCCTCCAGGACCGCACTACACAGTAGTCCTTGGTCAGGTGCGGTTCCATCGCGGCGTTCGTGTACTGATACAGCTCGGCCTGCGCGTCCATTTTCATCACCACCTTGGCCGACACCAGCTCCGCGTCCCACACGTGCCTCTCCCACAGCACTCTGGTCAGCACCTCGGTGGGCGGTGCCTCGACTTCCGTGCACACGCGCCACAAGCGCAACGGGTGTCCGTCGCCGACTTTCTTGTACGATATGTCGACGTTCTCAAAACTGCCCATGGAGATCCACCCTCGGTTTCTGCGGAACGCGAAAACGAAATTATATTTTATACCGTACTGCGGTAGCAGCCACAACGCTATCGTCAAAACCGTGAGATAACGACGTACGATTTTCGTACGGTAATTACGGTCGTTCGGGTAGAACATAGTGTGATCGCTTACTTGTCTTTGACTTCCTTGAGCAACGCGGACGTGCACACGTTCAAGTATCCTCTCCAGTCGTGACCCATTTCCCCGCCTAGTTCTTCTAGACTTATCGGTATGCTCTCGTCCATATAGCTGAAGTGACACTGGCTCATGATATCTTCTGACATCTGAAAGGTATACGAAAAATAAAAACCCCGCGTATAAATACACGTGCTCGCGGTCAAACATTGAAGCGAACGTGTGAATAACTCGGCACTGGGCATGGCCGCCACATAGGCGGTACTCGTATAATACGATTAGAGCAATGCTTCTTAACCTTTTTTTAACTGCCGCCCCCATAAGAATCAAAATTTTTTCAACCCCCCCCCCCCCTTAACTTCATTAAAATAAAATGAAAATAGTATACGTGAAATTTTTATAATTGAATAATAAATAATATACGTGTGTATAAATGTAAATATAATAAAAATAAAATGTAAAATTTACGTTAAAATATAATTTAAAAGGATAATTTAAATGTTTTGAAATGCATTGATCAGTGAAACGGTTGTGCTTGATGATTCAAAGCCAATTTTTTTTTACGTTTGGTTCAAAGAATGTGAGATGAAGGCGTAAGTCTCCTCTTTTGACGATGCCAAATCGATTTATTTTTTTCGTTATTAGATAATAATGTATAACTGTGTATATAACTGTATAACTTAAACATACATGTTTATAATACATTTTAATTAAATTTTTTGTTATCAAATTTTATTTATTATATTTTAATTAACAGAAAAGATACATTTCTTTTTCTTTTTTAGGCCAAGAAACTCAAAAAGTTGGGGAACAAAGTATAAGTGCAGAATGGCCAGCAACTACATCTCTAGGTACATTAAATTCATCTGGTGCTACAGTAAATGATTCCGATATTCATATTGGTACTTTAAAAGAATGCTGTGCTAATCCTTGAGTTACTCTCAAGTATAAAGAGGATTTCATGGTTCTGGATTCTACTTCTACTGTTGTAAATATATCAAACTTTAATGCTGATAATACTCAATTTTTATCAACACCCAAGGCAGCATTTAAAAAAAAAAAAAACATAAACTCTATCTTATCCTCATAATTTTAGTCATGCATTTGAAAATACAATAGATAATGATAGTCTAATGGAAATAACCCAAAGTAGTATATGCTTGAACCATTTTCAAAAGTGTCCACGATTTATACTTCCTATAGAAGAAGATTTTGTAAATAATTCTGATAGTAGTAGGATGGACAATTTAAGCATGAAATCTCCAAAATTTCAATTTTTAAAGAAAAATATAAATCAGTTAAGTTTAGATATATCAGATTATAATTTGTTTACTTCATCTGCCATTTCAAAGGCTTCTTAGGGTCAAATTTAAAAAAATTAAATGATTCAAAAGATAAACTTGATTTAAAGAATACTTCAAAAGGTTTTAGTTCTATAAATTAATCAATAAATGAAAATAGTGTGGAAGTAGCAAATGTTTCTATTGATGAAAAATTAAATGAACGAAATAATTAATTTAATCCAGAAGACTCTTATAATGAGTCATTGCCGAATAAAACAGCTGATTCATTAGATAATAATGATTCATCAAAAGATCGTGTCGGGAGATCTAGGTTAAAAAGTTTGTTGACTCCTATTGATGTCAGTCACTCATTTGAATCAAACCAATCAAGTTCTACTAAACACTTAATAAGTAGTACATCTATAAATATTTTAAACTAGTAAAATTCGTGAATTACACAAAAACTGCTGCTCAATCAACTGTATTTTAAAACTTGATAACTATCAGTCAAGAATCTAATTTGAACATTACACAATACGAAATTTTGAGTAATTCTGGTTTGAAAGACCAAAGTAAAATTCAAAATGATAAAATTAGTATGTGTGCAGATTCAAATGAATTATTATCTGATAGTAAATTGATTAGGCGCTGTAATCGTTCTTTTAAAAAACATGACATCGGGGAAGGGTCGTCTAAAAAAATCAAACAATCTAAAATATAACCTTGATTTAAAGGGTTCTTCAAAAGTTTCTAGTTCTACGATTATATCTCATTCAGAATCTATTAATGATCACCCTCAAATTGAAAAAAATATTCAAGTTTTTATATAATAAAGAACCACGGATAACAAAACGTCTTTATAATTTTTTAATTAATAAGCAACAACCTGAATGTAGCATTTATGTTGTAAATCATGCAGAACATTTTGTCAAGTGTTAAACTGGAAGATTAAGAGATATTCTCTATGATGTATTGATTATCAAGTATTTTTTGGTCGCACCATTTACAATGTTTTTACGTGAACACAGTCACCGCCCCCTCCTACCACCTAAAATTAGTTCATTGGTGTACGGAACACGATCAATTTTTACGTGCAGGCGAGGGCTTAACTCCTCCCACGGCCATTTCCACATATGAGTGTGGTAGAGACTAACGGCGGCTAGGATTAGGTTTCGGTCCGGGGTCGATTTCGCGCTGTAGCGGATCAAAATTGTTGAATACGTACGACAAACAGCTGATGATACTGGTTGACCAGGTACAGCAGGCAGTCGTGGGCCGCCTTGTTCTGTCCCAGCTGCTTGGAGTCCGGCAGACCGATGGTGGACGACTGATGGTTGCGGCGCGGCGACACGGACGACGACCGCTGCGACGTGACCGGGCTGGGCGGCGTGGACCCTGCGCCGCCCTGCGACGACCCGTTGCCGAGGTGGAACAGCGACGGGGCCAGGCACACGGCCAGGTTGCTGGCGGACATCTGGTTCACGTGGCTCCTAGACGACACGCGCGACAGGAAGTCCAACAGCGTGAACAGCGCCTCGCGGTGCTCGTCCGGCAACAGCAGCACGGTGCAGTGGACCGCTTCTTTCTGCAGGTACACCGGAACGTCTGCGGAACGGATGCGAACAGCGTTAAGAATGGCGATAGTTCCGTGTGTACGCAACGTTAATTTTAACGATTTTTTTTTTCTTTCGAACTAAATTAATTTTTTTTCTTTCTTTAATTCAACGGTCTTACACCATTTGATCGTGAAGAAACAGTTTAAAAAAAATATAAACCATAAACACCGGGTCGACCAAAAGAAATTAAATTTTTCCTAGCGGTAAAATTACAATAATTACCATACACCGATCGCGATAGCAATAGGTTTTTAGTTTTTTAACACTAATGAGTAGGGTACGGATTTTAAAGAAATAAAGCTGTATAAATCTTCCGAAAAAGCTTAAAAAAAGCATTAAAAAGAGGTTTTTCAAACAAAATAAATAAATAATATTTGGAATTTCGTAAATTACTATACGCTGTTACAACGAAAATTTCCAGAGCAAGCCCATATATTTGTGTTTATTGTCGTTTTAAGATAACTAATTCATCTACTGTATACCATACAATACGTGGTAAACTTAGCACACGGGGAAAGGTTGTCAAGAAATTATTGAATAAGAATTGTAACGCATATAATATGAAAATAAATATTAACATTTCAAATATGTTTATTAAGAACACATTTTGAAAAAAGCATTAATGTACAAAAAAAAGCAGAAAAAAAGCTAAATAAAATGTCGTGCATTTTATTCTAAGTAAGTAGCATGAATCGAATTTTTGGCTGTAATAGTTTCGTTTTAGAGCAATAGAAAAAAAAATCTAATGCCTTCAAAATCCGTACTCTACTAATGAGTTTAGTATCGCAACGCGCGAAACCAAGCTACTGGCATCTGGACGACCCGCTCCCATCCTTATTACCGAATTTTCGGTTCGAAGTTTAATGCCCCGAGAGAGGTGGTGCTGGGGGAAATGCGTCCGGCATAGGAAATAGAAAATAGAAAACACGGATTCGCAGTGCCACAATACATATGCGCAATACTTAGCTGATTTCAGCCGGACCGCCGGGTGAAATTTTGGTTTTTATAAACGTGTGCGTTACGCACTACGTCTCCCACATTTGCCATATTTTCAATTCCTGTTTCAGAGCCGAATACTTCCCCCACGAATGGAAACGAGCAGTAATCATTATGATCCCCAAACCCGGCAAAGATGTTTTAAACCCTAAAAACTTCAGACCAATTTCACACCTAAATCCAATCTCTAAAGTTTTCGAACGCCTGTTGCTCAACAGAATCCAATACCACTCCTCCCACCTTATTCGTCACGTCCAACACGGTTTTCGCCATAACCACAGTACCTCTATCCAACTTCTCACCGTCATCGACGACATCGTGAATAACTTCAATAAACGAATCAAGTTCGTGGCTGCCTTGTTAGACATCGAAAAAGCCTTTGATAAGGTTTTGCACGACGGCCTTATTTTCAAACTCTCAGCACTAAACCTTCCAGTCCAACTCATCAATATCATCAAATCTTTTTTCTCAAACAGATAATTCTACGTAAAAGTCGACAATCAGTTCTCAACCGTCAAACCCATACAGGCAGGAGTGCCCCAAGGTTCCTGTCTATCCCCTCATCTCTTCTCTCTCTACATCAATGACATGCCCAAACATACAAACTGTAAAACAGCTCTTTTCGTCGATGACACCCTAGACTTATCTCAGGGCAGAACTAACAATTCCGCAATTTGTAAACTTCAATAACAACTAGACTTGTCCCAACTGTGGTTCGACGAATGGAAAATAATCATAAACCCTCTAAAAACATCCGCCATCATCTTTACCAACAAACCCAAAACCGTCTCCAACAAACTCAAAATCAAAAATAATCAATTGGTCCCCCTCCGTTAAATACCTCGGTGTCCACCTAGACAATAAACTAAAATTTTCTAAACACATCGACTACATTTCCAAAAACTTCAAAACAGATACCTCCTCTACCCAATAATTTCCCATAACAGCCCTCTCTCCCTTTCCAACAAAACTTTCGTCTACAAAACTTCTCTGAGACCAATCATAACTTATGCCAATCCTATATGGACTTCCAACATATCCAAGTTCAACCGTAACAAACTAGAAGTTCTCCAGAACACCACTCTGCGTACAATCACTGGTCTCCCGTGGTTTGTATCCAACCAAACGATCTGCAACTCAACCAGAGTCATCCCTCTCCCTGAACAAATCTCCATCGAAACTAATAATTTAAAATCAATTCCCCGATTCCTACGATCCGTGAAATTTCAACCAAACCCTGCATCTCCCCTCGTCACAGAAATCGCTCCATCTCCTTCTAACTCCCCCATCCTAGTAAAACTCGCAAAACATTTTCAGATCCTATATTCCACACTCCGAGAGAGGCAAAAGCCTGAAGCAGAGCACCCCCCCCCCACAAAGCAAAGCAAAGCACGCACTACGTCGAATTCAGCACACGGGTACGTACAATTTTATTCGTTCGTATCGAAAACACGAGCCCTCGGTTTGCACAGTTCGATTAGCGTACACTTACGTGCACAATCACAGAGGCGCAGAACGAATAACGGACGACATATACGCGGCTTGGTTAGGTTAGTTTAACGCGAAAAATCGAGTTACGATGCGAATCCTAATTGGCCACTTTCGTTGAGTATAGTGAAGTGTTGCGAATGTACCTATGTTCCATAGTGCCAATCAGATATAAGTCGCGTTCGATCACGGTACGTATATTATTACGCACGTCTAATTTGCTAAATCTCTTATCGTTAATTAATCATATTTCACTGGTAAACATTTTATTCGTCCACATCAACCGTATTGAAAATGTACGAAAATGTACACGCGCGAGTATTTCGCTTTCCATAAAAATCAACATTGCGGTGATATTAAACGTACACCGAATGGACCGTGGAATAAATTATGTTTCACTAATACGTGCAGCGGCGTGAAAACAAAAAATCTCCATCGAATTGATGAAAAAACATTTTTTATTATAGTACCTATATGGATTAATAGAATGATTTTTATATAAAATGAGATTTATATGATTTTTATATTTTATCGGTGCATGTAAAGACATAAAAAAAAAATATTATATGCTGTTTGTTTTTGAACTTATAAAAAAGGAAAGTTAAAGACAACCAATATACGATTTTGACCATCGTTTACTATCGCAACTTTTCTCTTCAAGTCTAGACATTTTCGTTACACTACCGGGTACGAGTACTTGATAAGTATACGGATATGTACTCACGTTGGAAGATCGCGATAAAACTTTCTGATAGTTTGTTGGTGAGCAGAGCCTCCGGTAACTCCCGGAAGTATTGTTTCACCATATCGGCTACGTCGTAGGCCTGGTGGTTTTCGAATTTCAAGTTGTCCGGGTCCTCTTCGGCCAGTTGTTTTAGACGCTGTATCCGGGACTTCACGCCTGGTTTGCGGAACAACCCCACGTGGTCGAGAGCGTTGTCTTCCAGCCATCGGAAAGCCGACTGAATGAACAGCGGTAGAGCCGAACCGTTTTTCTGGACGTTGGTGATCAATGGGACACCGAACACAGTCTTATCTAAGAGCGGAAAAAAATATGTTAAAAGGAGGAATGGACATGATGGTGACATCTGGAGGAGAATTTGAAAAAAAAAAAAATTCAAAATTGGTTAACCCGAAAATCGATTTGTTCTGTACATTATTATAAAATAATCATTTCGTCTATGGTTTGCAGTCGATACACGTACGAGTGTACATTTAATAATCCTATATTATCCACGTATAATGTTAACGCTATGCAAACATTTCGCAGTACCTTTGGGGTCGGGTATTTTAGTTTTGCGCATAAACTTCGGAAGTTCCCAGTTCCATCCTGTTCGGTGGGTCGGACAATATCGTTCCATGATGGCCGTCAGTTTGAGCAAGGCCAACTTCCGCAACACCAACAGCTGGCCGACGGTGAGCGACCCGACCATTTGTCCGGCTAACGAATTCGGCCGATGTTTCGTCTTTTGAAAACTATGCCACCGGACTACCGAACCTCTGTAAACGACAACAATGACATCGTTGAGTATTTAAAACGTTAACTGGCGAGCCCGTAAACATGTACGGAAGCTAAAGTATAATATCTTATATTGGATTTTTACTTTGATTTCACAGTCAGTTCTTGATCGCTGTCCTGCACTGCACTCGACACGGAATCTACGCTGTCGTTGTCTGAAAAAAAAAAAAAAATTAAAACGTATTATTATCGTTCGCGTGCGATCATCATACGGTAACGTTATCGGTTTACCTTTGTTTTTGCAGTACGTGCGACTGTCTTGGCTGCCGTTGGGAGACGAGAAATCGTTGTTACTACCGCCGTCAAAGGCCAAGAATTCCAAGAGTGGCTGAAAATGAAAGTATACACGGGTTTACGTTAGTTTATTGGTATCGGGTACTCGAAGAATACAAAGTATAATTAAACCGGGTGCGTCTGAAAGACATCTTATTATACTGAGGTATTATGACTTATTATTTATTTTATTATTATTACTATTATATGTTATGTTATTAAGAGGGCCGCGTTGAACAAAAGTCCTTGCTCGCAAGGTCTAATCGTAATACAACGATGCGCTCTCTAAGTGTTCCAATAAAAAAATCACGCACATTATTTAACAGTTCAAAATTCATAATTTATTCAACTAGTTGAATTGTAAAAGTTAAAGTCTAACAGTTGAATAAAAAGTGTAAGCCCACGATAATTTTGGTACCGTAATTTCAAACGAGTAGTTAAATGATTTTTAAAATTACGTCTACAATATTGTACGAAATATTCGATTTGCATGGTATATTCTATATGATCTATCTCACGTATAAATACCAGTCAAATTTTGATATGTATACTGTTATGCACTTCTAATCGATAGAGAAATTTTTCTCATTGTAATTTTAAGTTCATCCGAAAAATCAAAATTCAAATCACTGTCAACCAAGTGCATGATGCGTGTCGAGGATTTTCGTTCGGAAAGCACTTGAATTTCAAAAATATTTTTACATCTACTCATATATTAAATAGGTTGGTAATTTACTCGTATAAATAATTTTCAGAGGACATTTGTAACGATGCTAAAAAATATATAAAAATGAACCTATTTTGTTAACACGGATTTTGGGCAGACTCGAGTGATAAAGCTACCTAACCCACTATTATGGCTCACGGGTGTGCCGCGCTGTACACAAGTTTCCAAAAACTATGTTCAACATTGTTGTATACATATACTTATAGCTGTCGATCAAAACAATCTCTTACGCGAAGCGTTTGCGGATCAAAAAGGTATCGTGCACAATAGGTTCGACTCAATGCAATTACGAGATGGTGGATAATACTGCGAGGTTTTCTAGCTTTTGGTTATACTTATACGCGTGTTGTAATAATTTGGTAGCGTATCAATTTAATTACTTTGGTATTATTGCTGTTGGCGTCTGTGTATTCGTTTCTCCAGGACAGTTCCGAATCGGAATACGCCAACGAATCTAACGACTCAGGTTTGGCTAAGTACCGTTTGGATTTTATATGTTCGTCGGTTATCGGTGAATCAGGAGGAGTTACGTCCACACAGTTGAGTTCCTTCATCCGTTGTTGCATTGAAGCTACATCTATTATCTGAAGAAAAAAAATTAATTAATTTTTCAACATTTTTCATGTCAAGGAAAATGGAGTTACACTAATTGATTGATATTTTCCAATTTAAAGCTGGGTTCTTAAGTATATTATGTATTTAAGAACCTACTGATAATGATATGAATGTTAGCAATTATCTATAAGCTTACGGCGCTCTAAGCTTTTATAATATATGCAATATGTTGAGTTTTTTGTTTTTTAGACTTTAAACGTATTTAGCGAGTAACAACAATAATTTATTTTGGCAAAATAAAATATTTACTCAACTGTAGAATAAATTTTTTGGTGAATTTTAATTAATTGTTATAGAAAATTATATTTTTACATAGAACTATAATGTGCAAGTGCCAGGGAGTATCGGTAAAAGAGTAATAATTATTATAATTTTTAAACTGAGAATTGTTATGTTTATTATTGAACCTATTCAAAATGTTGTACATAACGATATGCAGAATTTTTTTAAATTCATGTAACTATTAATAATAATTAATAAACTATACAATAGTATCGTGTTACATATTATGATTATTTAAACATATTCGAATTTGCGATAAAATTATCAGCTGTCGTCTGAAATACAATATAATCGTTGAGTAACGCTCTATGTGTATAATTATAATATTATTGCGTTCATGATAATGCACATTTTTTATTACAATATCCGTGGCACATTTTTCATTAATAAATTCAGTGGATAGTTTAAGTAGTGAAAATATTTTAAAACGCAATTTTATTTAATATTTTAATTTAAAAATTATTTTTATAATATTATTTTTCTGAGCGTCTGCGTAAGTAATTTAAAATAAAATGATTTTCGAAGTGAGCAACAATTCTAATTAACCGCAGCGTTTAAAAATAAATTAATTGATCATATTATGTTATTTTATAGTTCCGTAATATGTTAATTTATCGATTGTTAAAAATGTTTAAAATAAAGCGTTAAATATTTTAATTGAACATTAAAATTAGAAATCGAGGTTTCAAGGACATCTGGTTTTGAAATTAACGGAGCACTGTAGGATCCAAGCCTTACTCATTTGTACTATACGGATGTGTTTTATAACGCATGTATTAATAAAATAAACATTAATAACGTTCATAAACCAAAACAATATGCTTTTATAGTTCAATATCGTTAGACCACTTTTGTGGGTTAAAATTAATTTAATAACATTTTCATCAGAATAATTTTTCAATTGGTTAAAAACATTAACACACACACGCGTGCGCGCGAGCACACACACATACACGAAACTAGGTACACATAAAGGTAGCATGTGCGTATATAACAGTATAACATTTTACTCTTCCGTGTATTGTTTTTCCAGATCCTGCTGTGAGCGCATGTCCAAGAGAAATTCGTATATTAATTTACGGTTGAAAAATATTTTACGACCTCAATACTCGACTGCGTTTTTATACTTCGATAACTAACCTCACAGCTTGTTACTACGTTGGTTATGAATTTATTTTTCCAAACGGACAATAATATGTATTTATCTAAGTCAAGTGTACCGTTGGCGGCATTGAGTTACCGTAAAGTTTAATAAACGGCACGTGCACGTGTACACAACAATAGTCATATAATATAAACTCGGATTAAAAACGATTTTAAATTTGTAATTTTCTCGTAGGTATACGGGTACTATAAATCTATAAAACTATGTTCTCGAACCCGTATAACGCGCGTAACAATGCAGTATTATAATTCGATTAATTATTCGTTGTAGATTTGTTTTTGCGGTAATCGCGAAAGAACTGGGACAAGAAAAATTGCATCACCCGTTTGGATAAGTAACAATATTTTTAGGGGTGGGTCGATCCTAGAATCGATAATTGGTATCAGCCGATATCGGTGGTATCGGAAATATCGGTTTATTTTCAAAACAGATATTTGCAATATACCGCAAAAAAAGAAAAGAACCACCAGTATAAAATACATTAATACCAATAATAACAATATTTTAATCACTAAATATCGATAGTAGTGTGGTGTTTAAATTTGAAAGGAACATTGTTATTTAATTTGCAAATAAAACTGCTTACTTGCTTAAATAATGTAATGCTTATATTATGTAATATCGGTTTTATCGGTTTGTGGAAACGGATTAATTTTAGTATAGGTTCATAGTTTTTGCCAAAAAAGTTAGATTTTTTTATGTAATATATTAAAAATCAACTTGGTTTTTACTTGTGATTATTATATCAGGTATCGGTAAAAAGTGGTATCGGCTCATCATTACATTTTCAATTTTATTTGAACGGACCACGTAAACGGCCGTACGGTAAAATCAGTGGCGTGGTTACGGGGAGGGTGTAAAGGGTTTCCACCCCCCCTCAGATTTTTTTTTTTATTTTAATGATATTTAATTATTATTTATTCATATTTACATATTATAGTAAAATGATATTTTGATTTTACTATGAGGTATATATTAAAAATTGAGCAACAAAATAATTTTCATTAAATACGGGACATAATAATAATAATAGCATTTTAAATGTAATATTATTCTACAGGACCTCGTATTAAGGTATTCTAAGAACATCATAATTGACTCTTAAACACCCCCCTTCCCAGAAAATAAATTGTATCTACGCCACTGGGTAAAATGATTACGTACCACCGGGTTAGGTTAAGTACAAATAATAATGTTACCGTTTCGGTAGAGACTTTGACACTCGTCTCGGCGCGAGTTTCAAACGTGCAATAATAATATGACTGATACGTGCGCATTTCGCCGTAAACAGTCGCGGTTCCGATCGCGGTTAATATTCCACCGCGTGGAACGTAAATCGTAGATCATTTGTTTCAAGAGAATAGCTGTCCCCGAAACTAATAATTCGTCGTAAAGTACGTCTTAAAGTAATGAGTCGATTACCGGACGAAGCGAACGCGGCCGACGGTGTGTGAATAACGATGTCTCGCCAAGCCGTTTTCCGGTCTTTACGAAGGGAAACGTACTCGCATATATTTTTCATCGAACAAATTTTACTCCAGTGATCGCCGTCACGGATCCAACGTTGTTTTTCCGCTTTATTTGGTCCGACGTACATGTATATAGATGTATTTACGCGAGAAATAATGAGGTGTATTGGTGCGCTGGATTCATTTCGGCGGGTTTACGATTAAAAAAAAACGAATGAAAAAAAAAACCGTTGGATTAATTCATTTACCGTCGGATGCAAAAATACGGTTTTTATTGGAAACGTTTGCGTTTAATCGGTACCCGTAGTGCATCGTACTCCATGTCGATTCGTTTGGTCCGATCGAATAAAACGCGTGTACATTATACAAGGTATTTCTGAAATGGTTGAGAATTCTCTGGAGTGGTCAAATGAAGAATCGTTTGAAATTATTTTTTCATCTCTGAAACCTGGATTTTATTTAATTATCTTTGCTCATAAGAGATTTATTGTAAATTTCTCACGTGAATCGAGTATGGGCTTGTCACGCGTTTTTCACGCTCGAGTCGTCAGGATCAAAATATATGGTGTGACATATCGATTTGTATGGGAACTCGCCAAGATAAACAAAGGTGACATTTATTGTCACATTTAGTGTCACTTATATGATTGATTAACACGGGTTTTTGTTGTAAAACAATCACGATTAAACAAAATTTGTTTGAAATTCACCGAAAACCGTGCGGTAATAAAATCCAGGTTGTAGAGATGGAAAAATAATTTCAAGAGATTTACCCCAGAGAACGTTCTAGTTTCCTCGACCATTTCAGAAACACCCTGTACATCGTGTACACCCGTTACGAGACGCGTGTGCGGTTCTCCTGTTTTTTTTCCCCGACGAGTGGTGAAATGGACCGTCGGAAGAGCATCGAGATAGTGTTATACGTGCTTGCGCGTCGTTGGAAAACTAAGGGGAGGGCGGAAGATCACGGTATAAAGGGCAGTCGCATTGGACAGTAGTATTAGTTAGTACCTGCGGCGAACCGATGACAATGCCGTCGCGGTTGCGCTGTTTCCGACGTCTGGTCTTCAGGCTCTCCACGCGGCGCAGTATCGCTTTCGCGCCGTCCCGGAGCCGCTCGCTGCCGGACCTTCTGAACCGCGAGGCCAGCGCCTCGGACGCGTCGACCGCGACGGCCGACTGCGACACGTTCACGCCGAACTTGCACGTGCCACCACCGTTTCCGTCCCCTTGCTGCGGCAGCACCGTCTGGTTTTGCTCCTGGCCCGCGGCACCGCTGCCCCCGTCCGGCGACGACGCCTGCATCACGGCCGCGTTGACGATGTCGTCCACCCGGGACCACCGCCGCGACTCCCTCTGGAACGTCCAGTTCTCGCTCAGCGCGCATTCGCCCTCGGAGTCCGAGTCGTCGATCTGCGAAAAACAATAAAAAACACCGATATTAACAAATCACTCGCACTGCGATACTGTTTTTTTTTTTTTTTTTTTGAGATTTTAACATTAAAATTATTTCATCTCCAAATTTAACCGAAAACATATAACGCTGTAATATTGGTGCAGACAGTAAACAACTATTTATGAAGTGATTAGTGTGTATATCACACTCAGTGGCGGATTCAGATAAAAGAAAAACTAGGGGTTGCTTAGCTCCTATTACCGAAATAAATAAATAAATATTCAACAATAATTTCTTAAATATAAATTTAATTTTTTGTTCGTATTTACCAATATCTGAATTATGTTCATAATGCATTTATTTTACTAATTGATTTTTCTATATTTTTTTTTCTTTTAGAAAATATACCTACTAATTAATCGATTTCTATTTCTGAAGAAATTAACTGAAGGGGTGCTAAAATCAGTTTGGGTGGCGCTTAGCACCCCTAGCACTACCCTTGGTTTGTCACTGGTCACACTCTTAAACTTTTAAACCAGGTTCTAGTATAAATTTAATCATACCTTTGATGATATGTTGTTGGGTGAAAGAGCAGTAGTGGGGGAAAAGCTAATACCAAAGGTTGAAAAAAGGATCTTTAGTTGATTTCTTTACCGAGAGAGTGATGAGCTATATAGGAAAAAATAGGGGAAGTTAGACTAGTTCCCACCGGAGTTGGGTAGAGGACAGTACGCACTACCGTTGAGTCCCATCATAAATTAATGGCTGTGACCAACGCGTAATCTGGTGAATTTGATCATGTCAGTGCGGTTAATTTTTATGGATTGAAACCATGGACGAATAAGAATGATTTTAAATAGTTATTTATAACCAAGAGCATAAGAATCTAGTAGCGCAACGCATTCCAGCTTACATAGCTCCTGTATGGATGTGCGATGTAGAGTGACAAAATCAATATAAGGACACCGCGGAGGGCACGAGTTGGATCGATGGGCGGTGGAGCCAGCTAACTGCACGGTAGTGTTGTACGTCCCGAGCACGTATTGTACGTATGGGTTTTCGCAGCGAATTACTCGGGGGGCACCCTCGTGCTTGTTTGAAATTCGAGGCGCCACGGGTCAGCACGTCCTGTCCCGAAACTAAACACCTTTCGAATTCCGCGGCCCTTCGGGCGCCTTACCGAAAAGCCAAGCTGACTTTTTACCCGCACCAATCTACGAGCTCGCGTGCAAGTGCCACGTTTCCGTTTGACACGAACCGTGAAAACGCTTCGCAGAACTTTGCGCTCGAGAACGCAAACCGCTCTTCGACGGCTTTTGCAAATCACACACGGAGAATTGTTGTTAAGGTATTCGAGATATATATGATTTTAATGAACCCCTTGACCTATTATATTATACGCAGGTACATCTGACCATCGGTCCTACGTACCGCACTGGTAATGGCGGTTGGAGTTGTGCGCTCAGGAGCACTTTCGCTCGCCACACGACCATTAGATAACACCCGTACGAATCGTTACGCGAGAACGCGCAGTTTCTAACAGTGCGATGCATGGACACCCAAATATTTCCCTAAATTGTGTAATGCTGCATTATAGAAATCGACCAGGAAAAATGTATTCGTTTGTTGTACGTCCAATGGCGAATAACAAATAGTTATCTACAAAAGGTTTTTATCATTGACATTACCCATGTATACTTGTTTTATATCTCCATCCTCTTATAGGCTATATCATCGTTTTCGATTCTAAGCACTGTAAATAACTTCAAACATACGTAATTACATACATGGTATAACGCATTCGGTTTTTAAGAACCTGATCTGTCCGCGTTTGTACCATGTGCATTATTCGCTACGAAATATTGAAACGGTTCCATTGCAACGCGGTACAAGTTAGCAGTGCACTAAATTACCATTTAATTTTTTGAGGAATTATGATTTCGATAAAAAAAATCGTGTGCGTCTTTAATCAGGATCGTATTTTATAGAATACTTATAATAATATTATTTATGGTTTGTCACTAAATTCGTTTAGTGTTTTATAAATAGTATTGTTATTGTAATATTTATGGGTATTTCACCGCATTAATATTTCTAATATATTAGAGTACGTCGGAAAATGTACTTACAGCATGCTTTGGCGAGAAGTCGAGTTTCATGTTGGCGCAACGGTTTAAAGCATGTAATCTCCTGAACAATGATTGCAACGAGTCAAGATCTAGAAACGGATGATCCTTTTGCACACCATTTACGTCAATGGGAAATTGCAAATCTAAAAAAAAACCATTATGTTATCCGTCATTATTTTTTTCTTCTATATGGTATAGTATATTAAAAAAAAAAAAATGTTTTATTACCTTCATACATTTGCGCGTACTGCGGAAATCCTGCGGCTCTTAGCCATTTACACGCTTCTTTGGCTTCGATTTCTGTAAAAAAAACATAACATTTCAATAAAATTCAAACACGCGATTCCGAGGATAAGATATGAAAAAAACAAAATATTATAATATTGAACAGCTGTATTGTTGTTTACGCACTGCTTGCCGATCGTGGAATGAGGGTAACCGAACGCCGCACATGCGTCCATCATCGCGACTTTATAGTTTTTAATTATATTAAGTATTTCTAATATGTACACAAATTGTTGAATAGACATTTTTATCGAGTAGGTTGTCCACATAGTTCGAAAAAATATGTCTATGGCTAATGGCCATGAAACCGTTTCTAACAAATATAATAGTAGGTACTTGTTTATGTACACACACTCACATAGTATATACGTATATGTATTGTAATCCGTCAAATTAGCGCAGTATATTGGGGTCAAATGCCCCAGAGTCAAGTATTAAATAGAATGCCGAGCGAATTCTTTGTCATCCGATTGTGTCGATTTTATCAAGGACGAATCATGGATCATTGTTTTTACCAAACGGAATCGGGTCTTTGGGTAAAAATTGCGTCTCGTTTCAGATTATATAATACCTATATGTCGATGTAGGTAAACTGGCCTGACACAACTTCACCTATGCGTCTACATAGCGAACTCCGTATTTTACGTAAAAAAAATAAAAAATGTAATAAAAATCTACGCGTTTCGACTACGTTGCAGTTATCTATTAGTTCTTGTCATTGAACGCTTATAGTGTTGTGTATAGAAAGTAATGCAATTATTCGATGAAAAGTGATTTCTCTCTCGTATTGTACATGATGATGAAATAAAGTTGCTGTTATTGTGATTTTACATTCGAACGGATGAGGTTGTCCGACAGCTACACCGCAGACAATAAATAATATTATTCAGATCTCGATTAGAGACAATCGACTACCGTTACTGGATAACCGAAAATATTTTTCCCGTCAAGGGCATTATGCAACTCGTACGCAGTTCAAGCACGTTTCGAGTGCGAAACAATTTTACAACCGTTATGAGGTTTACGCATTGTGCGGTACACGAATACGCAAAACTCGGCGAGTCTCGCGAACGGACGATGGAAGTGCACAGTGTTTATTTATTTATCTTTTCAGGTGTTTAAGAATGGCTCAATCACGCGGCCCACTCGACATAGCTCATAAATAGTAGGTCATGAATTCATAATATTGATATTACTATTATACTATTTTACGCGAGAACTGTTCGACTATAATATTTATTACGAGTATATTATATGTAATATATTGTAGTATATTACTATCACACGAATAAAGCTGGCAACATTTCTGTCTAGTTTTGTTATTATTATTTTCAACGCAATTGTAAATCGTATACCTTGATAAATTTAAGGCAATAGGTGTGTGTGTGTGTATGTTTTTATTTTATTTCGAAAATGAATTACTACAAAAAAATTTCATGATCATGTAACATTGCAGTGGATACGTTTTGTATTAAACGATAGTAGACATGCACCTATCCATAAGTATAAATATGAAAACTCGAAAATATATCCACCCGTAGACGTGCAGAGTTATTGAAAAATGTCGGAAATCACGAACATCCATTACGATAACTGCTACTATAAGTGTAGAACACTTTCGACGTATAATTTACAACCGTCGGTGGTCGGTGTAAGCTGATCCTGATGATTCGTTAAAAAAAACAACATGTTGTCATTTCTTCGGCAGTTATACAATACAGGTTACGAAGGTAAAAAAATTAAACAGTTTATAACTACCGTGTTTACTAATAATTCTTAATGGAAATATTCATATGATTTCACACGCGATCGCTGCGTTTGTATAATATATAAGACCGGGCAATTCGTTTGAGGCGCGCTATCATATTATACTATCCAATCGCGGGAAAAATCATAATTATTTCAAATTGAATTCACAATACACGTTATAAGTTGTTTTTTCGAACGTCTCTTCTTAGCTTATATAATATAATACATTCAAAATGTATGTTTTCGATGTTCTCGTCATTAACCCCATTGTCGGTAAAAAACAAATTTTCGGAAACTGCGCGATGGAACACAACGATGAGAACCACGCCAGGTTAACATGCACAAGTCAAGTCTAATTTCGATGGAAAAATACGAAAAATAAAAAATAATAAGCATCACCTTGTTAACATTAACATTGGATAATAAACACTACCACTGCGGGGATCGGGAAATAAGAACTGTGACTGAATTACGCGAGCGGTGCACGAAAAGTATTCCCGTACGTTTAGCGGCATAACAAGATATTTATGAATTATATTCGTATTTTCATACGATCATCGTTGATTTTTTTTTTTTTTTTTTTATTTTTTTGTTTTTTATCGAATAAATTTTGCGATTCGCGTAGATAAGTCGCCCTCGGGGAGCGATAGAAATACGCGTATTGCGGTCCAAACCGTACCGTGACAATAGCGAGACGAAAGACGTGATGAAACAGAATTTGCGGTAGACCACCATCAGACTTCATAACCGTCCGTGACGTCCGTGCGGATTTCCATACGAGACTCCCGTCCGAGCTCATGCGGACTTCACATTACCATTGTACTATCGGCGGAGGAACACAGCGGCCGTCGGTCGCGCGTGTACACACGGTAGTGCTGACCTACAGACAACGATGACAATAATGACCGGCGAGGTTTTCGATCGTAAATCCTATTCATCGATACAATAATCGTACGTAATATTATATTTTCGTCCTTGCCGCGCGGACGGGGACAAAGATCTGCGCGATTTCGTTTCATTAGGATACGAACATTACAATTATAACGATACGCGTATGTTACTGATTATCGTTTCGTATTATTATTTTTTTTTTCTTCTATTTTTCGTCATCTTTGTTTCTCGATCGCGCGCCGTATCACCCGATCGTACGCATTGTGCACACGTGTAACGTATCAGTCGAACTCTTTGTCGAGATGTCACGACGACGGTCGTATTGCGTATAGGTACGATGATATTAATAATTATCATCGTCGTCGTCTTTGTCGTCGTGCGTTACGATACGCTCACCCATTCGTACGTCCGTCTCTCGTTGTTCCGGCTCGGATGCTACCACGGCACGATAGCGTCGTTCCGCCCGTTCCCGCCGAGAGATGTGTGAGACGATGGGACACGGAGGGCTGGAGTCCCGTCGTCTCAGCCTTTTACATAATATGATTTTAAAATTTCAAAATTAAAATGGTTTTTCGTCGTACTATGCAAAAAGGTACGTTGACCAAACGAATGTAAGTAAAGTTCTCGCCGGCCCTGCGTGAAAGTCCCGCCAGGTGCGGGTAGAACAATATGAAACACGCGTATGCGACGTTCTGCACGTATTGCGGGACGTCGGCGCGAATGCAATATTCGTACGTGTTAATTTAAATCGGCGGGTGTCCGCGCAAAAGTTTTCAGTAAAACCACGACATTTCGAAAACCCTCTTCCGGGGTAGGGGTTGAGGGTTGGACCACGTCTTGTGTCATCAGGTACCCGACCGGGGGTACAAAATTAATCGGTTGTATTTTCACAATATTTCCAATCGTTTTCAATCATTTCTCATCAACTCTCGGCTCGTTTCGGTTCGATCCGTAATACCTTCCGCGCAACATAATTAATTTTTACTAAACATCGGCTTCGACTTGCACCGGTCACCTCGGCCGGTCCGCCCTCGGTACCGGTCCACGAACGACTGCAACAGGTTGCAACGAGATGGCAAGCCGCACGGTTCTTCTATTCAAGCGCCATTTATATTTCTTTGCAATACAATGTTCGTGCGACGTCCAGTCTTATTATTGGTATTATTATTATTGTCTCGTGCGTTTACCACGCGTAGTATTCCGATCCATTCGGTAGTATTGCAGGTTGAACAAATAAATTATACGACAACGTTTTCGATTAACGCGTGTAACAATTAATGGGTTACGGTTGCTATCGGTTAAACTCATCTGTGCGCGCGCGCCTGTGTGTAGATCGTGTGTACTGCACGAGGTGTGCAATGCATTTATTATACCCGTCTTGAGTCTACCTATCAACAATTGATTCGATTTGAAAAAAACGCAAATTTTACTTGATCATTTAGTGTCCAATTGTATACATTTAGCGAAAAATAATAATAATCAACAATCAATATTATCTTTGTAGCTCGTTAAGTTCTCTTAACTATACGGTGATTTGTAGGCACATAGGTACGCTCATTCGAATTGAAAAACTTAAGGTGATTAATTCTTATATAATTTTATCAGCTTTAATTTGTTCTTCAATCGTACTTCATAGACTGGACAAACATTTATTATATATGATAGAAATGCGTATACATATCACTTAAAAAAGACAATATTGTAAATAACAGACTTAGGTAAAATAATTTTTAAAAGTATTTAGAATAAATACTCAGATACTTACAAAAAATAGTATTCTGAACATATTATTTAGAATACTTCAATAGTATTGCGAATACTTTTAAAATACTTCTAGTTTTCATACTATAAAAATAATAGATGTCCACTCAACAAAAATATTTGAAATTGTAGACTAAATATATGTTATTTAATTGTATTTTTATATTACATAACTGTTATAGTTTATGGTTTACAATAATAATAAATACCTGATATTAGCTTATACAAGATACGACGGAGAAGTAATAAAATCATTTAAAAAAGATGATTTGACGGTATTCGAAATACAGTATTCCGAATATTGTATTCAGAATACTACCCAAGTCTGGTAAATAATAATATATCTAAACGTATTTTACGTTGCAATGTAATTGTATTAAATATTCACTAATCATTAAATAACATTTTGATTTATACGAGGCATTTTTTTAATTTTTTTTAATGAATATATGATATTACCGTATATTTATCGACCATGTGGTTGTGTATCATTAATCCTAATTTTTAGAACTATAAAAAACCGAGTACATATGAGTACATAACATTATAACACAATATAAACGTCGGAAGTTTTTTTTTATCCAAAATTATGTAATGATTACATTTTATCATAT